GTGGGAGTCCAGGGACATAGCCATTACACTAACTGCTGGTTCCCCCCCTTTAATTCTTTTTTAAAGTGTGTAATTCCTCTTTTAGATCTTGCAAGAATTTCCTCACCTCATAGAACTCATCAGCTCCTTTCTCCTTACTCTTCTTCAGTTCATTGTCTCTTTGCTCTTCCATCTCTGTTAGCTTCGCCATTATGAATATTCTAAATTCTTTATCAGACATTTCCATAATTTCCATTGAACTGTCTGCAGATAAAGAAGAGTTATTCTTTTCCCTGGGAAGAGAGGTATGTTCTTGCTTTCCCGTATTTCTTGTGGTCCTGCAGTGATTTCTAGTCACCTGATGGATGGCGTGGTTCTTCCTAATTCTTAAAGTTCAATTTGAACATTCAGGAGCGTGAAGAAAAAGGTGATCTGGAATCTCTTTGCCATTCCATTGTGATCCCTTTGTGCAGCAGATTTAGTAGAATTTGAGCAATATGTTAACCCTGTTAGTATTTGGATGTTTGGCTATTGTTCCTTTAGCTCCATCTAGGAGCATAGTAAGTGGAGATTGAGGAGCGGAGAGATGAAATAAAAGAAAAAGAAAAGAAAACAGAGAGAGAGAAACAATAACAATAACAAAGAAACAGAGAAAAATAAGTAAAAAAAAATAAAAGACAACTAAAAAAATTATTTTTGTTTTTATAAAAAGCACAAAATAGAAAACCGGGTGGCACACATGCCATGCAAAATCATTAGTTCTCAGGAGCCATGAGGAATGATCTTCTGAAGGCCTGCCTTTTGCTTCTCCTGCCTGGGTGTGATGGGGAGAGGGGATTATTAATAAGCAAAGGTGGGGCTGAAAGCAAGAGAATACTTTACCTTAAAAAATTTTAAAAAGGAAAAATTATGAAAAAATGAGAAGACAGAAGCAGACAGAGACAGAAACAGAAACAGAGACAGAGACAAAGATAGAGAGAAGGCTAGAGGAGCTCCCTACCACTCAAATTTGTGGGCTGGAGGTTGAATTATCAGTATGAAATTTTCATTTCTCTTTTTCCCCTGAAATCACTAGTTCTCAGGAGCCATGAGGAATCATCTTCTCCATGTAATTATTATTTGCTGTATGTAAATAATTAAAATATACTCTTTACCAGAAATTTTATGTGGGCATTCAAGACAATACTAGCAAAAACATGTATGAAAAGAATAAAAATATATAAATAACCAATATACTCATGAAAGATAATCAACATCCTGACAGATTTTAATCATTAGAGAATTGTAAATCAAAACCATAACGAGATACTATTTTACATCCATAATAATGGCTATCATCTTAAGGTCCAGGAATACCAGGTGTTCATAAGAATTTGGAAAGATTGGAGCCCTCATACTTTGCTAATGGGATTCTATAATTCTGTAGCTATTTAAAAAATAAAAATATTCTAGCCAATTTCTAAAGATTTTAAATATGAATATTATAATATAACCTAGTAATTTGTACAAATATATGCATGCCCCTAGAATCAGAATAGGAACAGGTTCCTATTGAGTAGGAGGCCCACGGTAAGGTAATGCAGTTCAACCCCCTTTCTATTCTACATCTATGAGACTGATTGTCTTGCCACACTTACAAACCTCATTCATGTACAGACACTGGAGCACAAAAGATTTTTCTAAATTATCACATATCCTTAACAGTAATGATATATAAATAAAAGTTACTCATAAAATTCTATATGTTATAATGAGCCTTTTTAAATTTTTAAGAATTTGCATTAGCCACCTCTTAAATTTGGGGTTTTGTTTAGTACATTTTAAATATTATTTTTATGAGTTAACACTAATATACACAGACTGCATATCTTACTCTTTATATGAAGTGTTTCAGGATAAATTATCAAACAGGAACATACAATGGTATATACTATGAAAGTAGTTCATATTTATAAATAAATGTTTAATAATATTTAATGAAATAATTCAGCTACAAAAATAAAATATTCCATGTCGATTGCTTTTTACCTAGGAAAATTATATTATTGACCTTGTGCTTGAATTTGATGAAAGTTTAGCATTGAACATTCCATAATAGATTACATAGGACGTGTCAGACAGTAAAGACTGGTACAGACTTGGAGGAATGGGATAGAAGGTACTTCAGACTGACCACAATCATCAATCTATGTTCTCTCTAATGCTCTCTCTCTTTTTTCTCTCTTACACTCACAGACACACACACACACACACACACACACACCTCAGCACATGATAAACAACTCGCTAAAATGAGCTTTCTACTCAGTTTTTATAATTTCAGTGTTAGATTCTAGCTTGAGAATGATATACTTCTCAAATCATGAGCA